GATGATTTTGCTTAATTTTCTCAACCAAAATAGTATTGTCACAATCTTAATTCTCACGGCCGATTTAACAGCACTATAACGAATCAACTGTAATATCTCCGTCTCTTCGAGTTTCATTTTGAGTAATATTCGTGAACCGTTCGAATAATGTTTTTGAACCGTTTAAATAATGTTCATTATGTTTGTTTAACAAGTTAAATAAATATATATGGATATAATTTGATGCTCATTTAATAAACGAACGAACATAAAAAAAATGTGTTCATTTTGTTTATGTTCGCGAATAAGTTCATTTATTGACTTGTTTATATGCATTTTTATCCGATTCTTATTTTTCTTTTACATTTTAAATATTGATGAAGATGGAGATTAAATTAAACACAAGGTAAACTCTGAAGTTGAAAATGTGAAGCCTAAAGAGCTAAACAACTAAAAACTTAATTTCACTATTTTTGAACATATAAATGAACATGTCCACGAATGTTAAACGAACATGTTTGAAAACATATAAACAAAATATTCGAGAACAATAAATAAACGAACATGAACACGATATAGAAAATTTAAACAAACATGAACATCTTCAAAAATTAACAAACAAACACGAACACAGTCTCATTCGTTTGAACTCGGTTCTTTTACACCCCTAATGACCCTATGGCGTGTAAATGCTTTTGCAGATCAAGCAGTTCATTGTGCCAACAATTGGTGCAACCAAGACAACATGAATTAAATGTGTAACAATGGACACATAAATTTAACTAAACTAATTCAATATGATGAAACTAAACCAGACGAGCCAACAGAGAAAGCACACCCTATGGTTGTCTTTGTGTGCTATGTCACCGCACCGTAGAAATTTACTCCGACTTCTCTACAACCATCCAAGACCCCCAATGTCCTTTCACCCGCACCATCGCAGCCACCTTCACCGTAACACTGTTGCATCACTTCGTCATACGTCTCCCGAGCCAAATCGAGGGAGATGATAGTGAACGGAAAACCCACATCTCGGCTACCGCAAAAAGCCCAATTCAAGGTCCCATCGACATGTTTCACACCATCATTACGAGAGACCCGGGATGGGAAATTGTGAATCCTTCTCCAACGATTAGTCCTCGAGGAATAAACGTACTATCGTAACCATCTTCAATGGCCTTATCCGGATGACTACAAACTCTAACAATCTTGTAATCATCCATGGAAGCATCAAAACCAAACCCATAAACAGGATAAGTACCCGTCTTACAATCTAAATCAGGCAACCCTTTGGAAACCCTTAAAGTGGTGTTTAATAAACACAGAAAATTTAAACTAAATTGAAATTCTAATTGAATATAGATTTGAATTATTCAACCTGCTTGAAAGTAAAGAGTCCAAGTTAATATAAATTCTTTCAGAATTAATATTTTGTTATGGATTTAACTGTAAAATTTTTAATTTTACAACTAAACATATAGTTCAAGATATTTTCTCATCCCATAAACTCTGATATGATGAAACTAAGCCAAATAGATGGACCAACAGAGAAGGTACCCAGAAACTACAAATGCGAAAGAAGAAATCTCAAATTTACCTTTTCTCTTTGTTCGTGATAGCTATTAACGCCATTCATCTATATCGAAACAAGGCTCTCCTCATAGACTTCTGCTTGATCAATATACGAAATAGCATCATAAGGAATCACAGGGATCCTAAACGCATTTTCCTTGGAATCGTATAGAACTAGATTCATCCCAAGATGAAACAAAATTACACCAGTTTCTGATACAAACAAAGGTGCGGAATAGAATTCGGCTCCCGGATACGGCAAGTACGGAATAGTAATCAGCTTAGTCCAAGACTCTCTCTTTCCATACTCTTTCATAACCCAAACCACAGCATACAATCTCCCGTAGTTACAAAGCACACAAAGACATCCATCCAATACCCCTAATGTCCTTTCGCTTGCGCCATCGCCGTAACACGGCTGTGGAACTTCCTTATACGTCTCCTGAGCCAAATCAAGGGAGACAATAGTACACGAAAAGCCCTCTTGTCCGTGAAAAACAATCCAATTCAAATTCCCATCAACATGTTTCGCAGCTTCATTACAAGGAACCCCAAAGTGGAAATCTTGAATCCTTCTCCAGCTATTAGTCCTCAATGAATAAACCCTAACTATACTCTCATAAGCATCTTCAAAACCCTTACTTTGATAACAAAATACCCTAACAACCTTATAATCATCCAGGGAAGCATCAAAACCAAACCCATAAACAGTATAGCAACCCCTCCTTTTCTTAAACCCTAAATCAGGCAACCTTTTGGAAACCCTTAAAGCGGGGTTTAATAAAATGACTGTATCTTGTCTAATAGCTATGCAAACTAAGCCATTACATTAACCCACAACCCAATCACAACGGGAATCGTTCTTCAATGGGTATTCGATTTCCATGGTAGTGACAATTGGGTCAAGGAAAACAGAGTTAAGAAAGCATGATTTGATGCTATATTGGGTTTGGGTGGTTGCGGTGTTGATTAAGACTTGTTTTTTAGATAACTTGGGGTCGTTTTTAAGGTGCTTTTTGATGAAGAAAGGGTCGTGTATGAGCGTTTTCCAGGATTTGGAAACGCACCTGAAACGGAGGAGGGATTTCACGGGCAAATTTGAGAGGATCTCGACAATGATTTCTAGTGGAAACGACGGTGGAGGAAGGTTGGCGTTTCTCGAGCGTTTTGGGGATTGAGCTGACACCTCGTGGGTTTCGTGCTGCATTGATTCTTGGCGGTTCCGTTCCTGGGTTTGTTCAGCTGAAGAAGTTGATGGCAATCCGTGAGTAGGGAGCTGACTCGTCGATTTGGTAGACTCGGGGCTGATTCGTGGTTTGATTTTCCATTCTCTGCATTTACTTCTTGTGTCACTTTCATACACAGAACCAGGGGCATCCAAGTAGAAGACGACGATAAGTACCCTTTTTCCCTAAGGTTTAGTTGCTACGGTCCGTTTTTGGCCGAACGGAAAAGAACGACTCTATATATGATTTTTGTAGGAAAAATTGTGCTGAATAACACTCTAAATTTATTGATTTAATAATAATAATATTGAATCGTTAAATTCAAAATAATACAATAATTTGTCACTAATTATATGAAAACTGAAATAAAAATATTTCAGTTATAATTGAAAATTGGTTTAATACAAAAATAAATATTTAAATTATACTCAAATTTAACTTTTGATGTCTAAAGAATTTTTTTTTGTTAAAATAAGTACTTAATGTTATTTTTATTATACTTTTAAGTGCATACTGTTAAAAAAAATTAAGTACATGTGTCACATTTAAATTATTTAATTTTTAAAAATAAATTATTATTTAAAAATATCTTTTTTAAAATGAACGTGGCATGTGTCACTTAACTATTTTTAACAGTTGACACTTAAAAGTATATCAGAGAAAATATTAAGCATCTATTTTTAACAAAAATTCTTTAAGTGTCAAAAATCACTTTTAAATATAGTTTAAGTACTTATTTTTATATTAATTATCGAAAATTTGTAAGTGTTTCATAATTTATTATTTGAGGTAATGTATCATTTTTTAAGTCATCAAATTTATTTGATACATCTATTTTTAGTTTATTAAGAAACAATATTTTTGCTGAATTAAAATTGAGTTAATATTAAATAGATGATATTTTGTAGGTATAATGTCAGAAAATACCTCAAAATATAATAAAGTAATCATTTTGACTCTTATTCTTTTTTATGCATTTTTAACTCCCAATATCTTATTTTGGAGCAAAAAAGTCCCTATATAGATTTAAATTTTCAGTCAAGAATAGTTAACACTTTAAAACTACAAGTCTTTTGTTTTAAAATAAAATATTAAGGGGTAAAAATACTTTTAGAAAAATAAAGACTAAAATGAATATTTAATTAAATGTTATAAGTATTTATTTTAAAATAAAATGTTGAAAGTCAAAATAATCTAAAAAAGAATGAGACAAAATGATTATTTAATCCTACATTAGAAATATTATTAACATAATATCTATTTTAAATATATTAATTTATATAAAATAAATAATCATATTTATAAAATAAATGAATTGACTTATTAACCTCTGGTGTCGAATAAAAGTACAAATGAACTAACTTATCTCAAAAAATTATAGTCAATAATAATAAAAAACTAAGAATCCTAAGCTAACAAATAATTATTAAACTGAATAATCTCTTTTTTATTTTTATTTATTTAATCAATAAAATTGATGAATATTATTAATTAAACACAATTTTTTTTTGTACATTAGAAGTTTATGTTTGGTGTGGTTCACCCAATTCAAGCCAGGACATACCTAAGACTAAGTTAGAATTTATATAGGAATTTATAGATTGTGTACCATGAGTGACGATGATAGGATTCAAACTTGACCTTACAAACTCAACTTTTTGAATCCAACCAGTTGTGCCAAGAGTCGGTGTCATTAGTTAAACACAGTGATTAAATTGATTGTTAGGTTGAGTCAAACTAACAAATTGGAGCTCGTAGGCCTCCGTCGTAGGAATTTTCAATGTTAATTAAAATAAAAAAGTAAATTATCCGTTAAGTACTTAAATTATCAGTTTTGATTCGTTTTAATATATAAACTTTTATTTTTTTCAAAATCATATCTAAAATTTAATATGTATTTCAATTTAGTACATTATCGTTAAAAACTTTAATTTTTGTTTCATTTTAGTACTCTGTTTAAAATGTAACATTAAGTTTTGAAAACCTAAAAGTTTTAGACATTAAGTTTTGAAAAATTAAAAGTTTAATACTTAAACAGACCAAAACTGATAATTTAAGTAATAAACGCGTTAAGTTTTTAACGACGGGTACTAAAACAAAATTAAAACTTAACGTTATGTATGATTTTGCAAATTTTGAAAGTTTAGATATTAAAACAGACCAAAACTAATAATTTAAATACTAAATGCATAGTTTACCCGAAATCAAAATGATGTTATTACAAGAGTTTTAGCATTTGCAGTCCCCATTAAAATCAAAATCAAACATAAATTACAAAAAAAAAAAAAAAAAACTTATTCATACACATATTACATGCAATATAGCAGTGAAATTTGTTGGATGGGTAATTTCACAAACACTGACCAAGAGTAGTGGAGATCTTATTATTGGTGGCATAAGCTGCATTCATCTTACTGCCCAAAATCCTCAAGCTCTGCTTAAGAATATCCATCTCTCGTTTCCTCTTAAACCCTTCCTTCTCCATTGAAGCTATTCGAGCTCTCAAGGCTTCTATCGTCTCTTCTTTGATCTTCAGTTCCTTCTTCATCTCTTCTATCGTCTCCTCTTCCTCTACTTTCCAATAGATTACATCACCTACACAAATAATTTCTACACCTTTTAACAAATAGTACCCATGAAGGTTTTCCAAGATGAACTATTATATCCAAAGTCACATTTATGTTGGGGTGAAATACGTATTTGGTTACCCAATTATTCTCACGGTTTTGTTTTGCTTATACAATATTTTTAAAAAAAAAATAATACCAAGAGTTGGGTTTTCTTTTTATTTTGATCATTTGTCGTTAAAAAAAATCATAACTATTGACGTGATAATTTTTATTACTTTTTCAATGATGAAATGACATTATCTAATGGTGACACGTCGACATTACCAATAATTTTTTAAAGACAGTGAACTAAATGTAACTTTAGGTACGACATTGAAAAAAATAGTTAGATGACCAAAACGAAATCACAAGAATAATTAGGTGACCAAATACATAGTTTATCTTTATATTTGGCTTAATTAGAAGTTAAGTGCTCAAATTATATTGTTTTTCGCAAATAGTTGTCATAACTTTTTCGAATCATCCAAGTGTCTGATGTTACGAACGTTACCACTTTAAATACATCAACTATAACGACCGTTAAAAACACCAGTTAAGTAATATATGTCACATTTATAGAATTTTAAATTTTTTATTAAAAAAAATAAAAGTCCACCCACGTCCCCCCTCTTCCTCCCCTGCTTGGTGCTTGCTTTTTACTTTTCCAGGGCCAAACGACTAAAGGACAATCGACCGATTATCACAGTCGGCTAAATAATCAACTATCATGATTGATCAAATGGATTAAAGTATTAGGTATTTGATATTTTAAGGAATAGAGATTGAAGTGTAGGAATTTGAGAATTTTTAGTTTTAAGATAACATGAGTTATGACCAATCAATGAGTAGTGATCGATGACGTATAGGTGACTAGAGATGACCGAAGGATGAAATAAAGGAGATTGAGAATTTAAGAATTTAGGATTACTTTCAAATTTTTAAAGTTTTTTAAACACTATTAATTTTATATTTTTTAAAAAATTATATTTTAAAAAAATAACGGCTGTTACGACATTTACACTTGAAACAATAAAATTTGTAATTAAACACATGGATGAATAAAAAATAAATAAATATCTATTTGAGAAATACTGTATGATTTGATAACTTGGTTTATAATTAAGCCTTATATTTTTTTTATAATTAGGGCTCACCATGATTCGGTCACGTGGCCCAAAACCGATAAAAAATTTATACCCCATAATAAACACTCAACCTAGATCGATCTAGATTAATCAAGACGAAACTTTAGAACTGGAGAGCAACAAAAACAAAATCATTAAGTTAAATATAGATTTAATTGCACAAATCAAGTGACCTAGATGATAAAAAAATTGTTCTTAAAAAACTTAGATTTAATTAGAACTATATATATATATGAAAAATATTATACTTATTTCTAAATATATAAATAATAATTATATTTTTTTTGAACCGAATCATTTTTTAACTTAAACTCAATTTTAAACATATCTCGCCTATGTCCTTTAAAAAGAACTCGACATAAACTAAACAATTTTTTAAGAAAAAAATAATCCTATCAGATTTGTCGGAAGCTATCGGATACTGATAAAAATAATAATTATAAAAAGGTTATTCATGTTTTAAAAATTATAAAATATCATTATATTTATTAAATTATTATAAATAGACACTTTAAGTGTAAAATTTTGATAAATTTAATAAATATAATAATTATTTTAACTTTTAAAATTCAATGATTACATTGATTATTACGTATAATTCAGTGTTTATAAAAAAAGTAATATATCTTGAGAAGGAAAAAAATTAACCTATTAGGATAGGTTTAGTTTACGGAATATTAGATTAATTTTGGGTATAAAATTATCAAAATGTAACATTACTCTGATAATATTGTATTATTTTGTTTGATTTGTTTAGTATGAATGTGATTTTATAATATTTGATTGGAGAAATATAAAATTACTTGAATATATATTTTATTAAATTACATTTGTGATATATATTTTTTAATAAATAAAACTTTAATATTAAATTATAAATATTTGAATAAAAATTTATAAAAATATTTTAATTATTACACTATATAACTTTAAATAAAAAATACATTTAACATATCAAAAAATATAATTAGTATAACAAACTTATAATTTTAAATAATTTTCATAAGTATCATATTTATTTATATAAATGTAATATAGATCTCGAGTAAGCAAATATATTATTTTTAATATATAAGATCTATTTTTAAATAACTCAAAATTAAATATTATTTTAAATATTTATATTTTGTTACAATAATAATATCTTCATCTCATATAATTATAAAATAATTTATATATTAAATATTAAAAATATAAATAATTTTAACTACTCAAATTTATTAATATTTTATTAAATTAAAATCTTTGTATATTATTATTAAATAAATATAGAGTAAAGCACAAAAAATAAAAAATTGATAATGATCCATATTAAAAAAATTATTATTTTAAAGGTATTTATGCCTAAAATAGTAGAAATTATTCATTACCTAACAAATTATAGATAATGATATTTCCACAATTTTAACTTAAAAATATTACTATTAGTAATAATATTTTCTACGAACTAAATGCCCCTTTAGAATTTGTAAAATGATAATAACATATTGTACTCCGAAAAGTATAAAGGTAAATTATGTATGTCTTTGATCCGTTTTAATATTTAGTTTTTAAAATTATACTTAATGTTTAATTTTTATTTTATTTTAATATCCAATGTTAAAATTTTAATGAATTTAATATTTAAATTATCAAATTTAATTCGTTTTAATATTTAAATTTTTATTTTTTTAAAAATTTAAGATATTAAAATGAAACAAAAATTAAAATTTTAAAGACGAGTATTAAAATGAAATGAAATTAAAGTTTAGATATAATTTTAAGAAAAAATAAAAATATTAAAATATAACAAAACTTATAGTTTCTTTAAATTTAACTAAAAAAATCATATTGTTGGAAGAAGCAATCAAAAGTTTCGAACCATAAAACCAGCACGAAGATGAAGAAAAACAAGATACATTGGGAATATGAGAGAGAAAGGGAACTGTACCATGAGTCCTTTGAATAAGGTCATCAAGCTCAGTTTTAATGGCAAGATACAGTTGCTTCCATTTCTCCACAACTTCGTCTCTCCTAGCCCTCTCCTCCTTCAGCTGCTCCGACAAGAAACTCGTCCCCAACAATGGCCACCCCTTATCACTCTTCTGAACCGCCATCCAATACCTCTCCATTCCCTCAATCTTCTCCTCTTTCTCCTCCACCATCTTCTTCAACGCCTTCACTTCCTCCTTCAGCTTCCTCTTCTCCTTCGCCCACTCCGCCTCTTTGCGCGCCACCACCATCACCGCTTCTTTCTCGCTGTTGAGAAGCCTCATCTTGTCCGTCAGGTTCCTCACGCACCTCCTCTCGTGGCAAGGCTTTCGCCTTTTCTTGCTGCCGGAAGCGCCCATTGTCGAAGAGGATGGCGGGGGAATGGCGGGTTTTAGGGATTTTTCGTTGGTGGGGAATTGAGAATTAAGAGAAAACTAAGTGTGTGAAGGACATAACTTCCCACACCGACTGGCTCCAACTCAATTAATGAAGGGAAAGAATCCCCACATGGGAATTTTCAACACTGTTTGTGATTGATTTAACTTGTGTGTGCAGTAAACATATGCTCGTATAATTGATAGAAGTGTGAAAAAAAGGACCCGTGAAACAGGCTTTATTACTGCAAAAAATGAACGCACAAGAATATATATATAAGGTTAAATTTCGTCTATAATGTATACTTTCTAGAATTTTAAATTTTTTATCATGTTTTAAATAATACATGATTAAAGAAGGATATACATTATTTTTTTTTCTTAGTAGATAGATGGCTCAAATATAATACCATATACTATTTTAGCTCATATATTATTTTAAATAGTTCATATATTAACTAAAATAATATATATATTAATATATATACATATGAGCCAGACAATCAGCACTCAGCATTTTCTAACCAAATTCTTGTGTTTACAAGGACACTATACTATCCTGTACCAAAGAATACTATAACTTCTGATTTTGACCCTTTTCTTTCGTTCAATTATTGATTATTTGTAAATTGAATTTAGAGTGTATATGAGTGCAGTTATTTTTTATTTAAGAAATTTAGAGGATATTATAAGTAGGATAGGTACGCACTTCACGGATTTTGGCCCGACTTAATTTTACAAGATTGGTTTTCTTTTTAAAAATTAAGTTCAAGTTGGGTTGAGTCGAGTTTGATTTCAATGTAAAAAATTTTTTACTCAACTCGACTTGATCTAATATGACATAATAGTATCAACCTAAAGACATCAGGTGCTTCACGCGTCTTTAAGCTAAATATAAAGACTCTACGACTGCATAGCGTCTTCAGGCAAATAAAGAAGACTCCACGATTACATGACATCTTCAAGCAAATTGAGAAAATCTTAGGAAAGTACGACGTCTTCATATCAATAAAACCCTAATTCATGAAATAATATAGTAGACGATGAGAAAATAATTTTTCCTATAACCTATATGGGCGAGCAAGCCAAGCAATTGGGAATTTGCTGTATACATCAAGTCATATGATGTTTTAGTGCCAACTTTGCATGGTCCCTACTGCTTGATTAGAAGGCTTATAATTGTGCAAATTTGCTGTTGGATGCCTCAAATTCAGCTCGTGAACATTGGTATTGTGACATTTATCAACAAATTATTGTCTGATTTCAACCATTCAAGGAAACAATTATATTTTTACAAATAATTTGTTGATTGAAATAATAACAATCGATAAAATTGTTCATGATGAAAAAAAAAGATTCCATGCACGGAGGAAATGATTTTTTTATCTAATGTGGTTGTTACAGTACCTATTGGAGGACGTCCAAACGACCCGAATAAAACCCAATCCGATGGGTGGTTTTGCTAGAATAAACAACAATGAAATCACTATTTTAGTAAATGATGCGGAGAAGGGTAGTGACATTGATCCACAAGAGGCTTAGCAAGCTCTTGAAATAGCGGAAGCTAACTTGAAGAAAGCGGAAGGCAAAAGGCAAACAACTTAGGCAAATCTAGCTCTCATACGAATTAGGACACGAGTAGAAGCTATCAACGTGATTTCGTAACTCGTTGGTTAATCGAAATAATTTTAGTATAAACAAAACTTTAGTTTAAAATCCCATTTTTAGATATAGTTTAAAAAAAGGGTTATATCACAAATAAGTACATAAAGTATATTTTATTTTCATTTGAGTGCCTAAAGTATTTTTGGACAAAATAAATACTTAATATTATTTTTTAGTCAAAATAGGTACCTAAAGTATTTTACGTCAAAATAGGTACATAAACTATCCAAAAAAATTCATCTAAGTTCTAAAAAGTTGACATGTGACATTAATTAAGGAATACTGTAGGTACTTGGATGAAAAAATTGAATAATTTAGCTATTTATTTTGACCAAAAAGATAACTTTAGGTACTTAAATGAAAAAGACGGCATACTTTAAGTACGTATTTGTTATTTAAAGCCTTTTTAAAAAATAAAATTTAAGTACCAAAACATAACAAAAATAATAGTTTAGGTCCTACACGTGTAGTTTACCCTAACTCTAATACTCAAAATAAATCTTTGATGTTTATCATAAATTTATAAACAATGTTACTTGACAATGCCAAAAGTTGAAAGCAAAAGCAGGATATGATGGCTATCATTTTCGTTGCCAAACAAAAATCTACCCTTCATTTCAGTACTGTTCACATCAATGTACTGTTTGCCTGCAAATAATTTTCTTTTTCCAGGGAATTTAGTGATATATTTCTCAGAAAATCCTGCGATCCAATCAGGATTTTCTTGGGAAAATACCTCCACCCTGGAGTTTTGGGCAGCAAAACAGACGTTGACATCTCATGCTTTTTCAAGCTTACCATATCAACATAATTTCACGTACCGAACAAAGCTCATTTATGATCACAGCTTACCCACCATTGGATTCCCTGACCCAAAAATGGATGGACTCTCAGTTCATTGTATGTAAACTACTAGTCTTTTTCACATTAAATTTGAGGATGGGGAATTTGGGACTTTACTATGCTAGAGAATAAATAAATAAATAAGGCTTAAATGTGCATGAAACCTTTACTTTTTTTAATAAAATTAGTTGAGTATTCTTTTCAAATGGATTTTTAATAAAAAAATTAAATCAATTAAATTATTTGATTAATTTTAACCGTTAAATCTTAACAATATTTTTTTCATAAGTTACACGTCACACTGTGATTTGGTTACATTATATTCAATGACAGATCTAGAAATATTTTTCAGGGAGGATAAATATACAGTAGTCAACGATAGCAAGCTACGAGAAGAAATAAAGTCAAATGAGATAAAATCTAAACTAAGGCAACATTACTCTGCTATCCTAGTTCTAAACCTTCATAAATTTACAAAAAAAAAACATATGGTAAAAAAATTGGATAATGAGTAGGATCTTTTCAGTAGGGTATGTGCAATTTATAAGTAAGAATAACAAAATGATAGATATGTTGTACGATGGAGAAATTTAAGATTATTTTATAGTGGGTTTGAATATAAAATGTTATTTTATTTAATTTAAAAAGTTATATATTTGTTATAAATAGAATACTATATTACGATGGATTTTAATTTAAAATGTTACATTATTTATTCTAAAAGATTACACTATTGATAATAATTTTAGTTACAAATGAGAATATTATATGAGTTTTTGACGGTATTTTTTTAGATTACAACTAAAATAATTATGCTATTTATATAGTTTGTTACGAAGAACGTAATATTTTTTATTTTAATCTAAAATGTTACCTAATTTAACTATAAAACATCACACACTTGGTAAGTTTTTTGGTGAAATATGTCACTACCCGATTTGATAGAAAATTTATTAGATTATATAAATTAAAAATTAATTAAAATACTATCTAATCAAGTGGTGACACATGATACATCTAATTAAATATTAAATTTATTAAATTGAATTAAAACTATGGCTAAATTTGTAAAAATGTGTATATATTAAGGATTAAATATATAATGATATTATTTTTTAATAGTCACGTCAGCTATTCTATTAAATAGTTAAGTAATATGATTGATAAAATTGAAAGATAGGTGATAAAAATGGAATTTTTCAATAGTTAAGTGGTAATGGGCGTAGTTTACCCTATAATCTATTATGACTTTATTTAATTTTTGGGTAATCTACATCCTTTAGTGACTAACTTATTACTTATTCTATGTTTTGGTCAACAAACTATTAGTTTTGATAAAATCATCACCAATGTTACATTTTTTTATTTTGGTGTTAAAAATTTAACGGCGATGTCGATGAAAAGAGAGAAAATAACAACTAAAATAGTTTTTTTAAGTCTATATCAATATCTCTGTTAACTTTTGAATGCTGGTGATCGTGATCTAGAAAATGTAACATTTGTGATGATTTTATAAAGAAACAATTTAATGATCAAAATAGAAAAAAATAATAAATTAACTACTAATAGTGTAGTTTACCCTTAAGCTTTTTATTACGTTAAACTTTGTCAATTCAAGCTCCCGAGTAGTGGGAGGAGATCTGGTTCTGCCCACGTGCCTAATGAGTAATGAAGAGCCTGCTATTTATGGACAGTGGCTTGGCTAAAGGAACCCACCAAATCTTCATCGGACAATTCTAAATTTCTATAACTAATCCTAAACCTAAATATTATTATCATATTAAAAATTATTATAATAAATATGAAGCACAAGATTCATACATTAATAGTATATAAATAATTTTATCTTTTATTAAATGAAATTATATAAAAAAATATTATTTTTACGTACGATGTTACCATTTAACCCACACTAATTGCGACGAACTTTAGCCTCACAATCAAAGAGTACAACGAGAGAACCATCAGCAAATATTCTCCAAACTTAAGGATAAGCCGGGAATTTCGTATTATAGATTTTGACTTTTCGCGTTCACGTCGTTGTGGAAAACCAAAAAACACGAGGGAGACAAAAAAGGAAGGAAAAAAGAGAAAACCAGAGCCAAAAACGAAGGCGAAGGAAGGAGTTCTTCGTTAATGTCCGATGTTGTGATTCGTTTACGTTGCGCGAAAAGGCGAGGCTTAAACACTTCTTACATTATATGGCTTTTCTCTTTTCTGCAACGGCTTTTTTCTTACTTGTAATCTATATCATAGAATAGAATCACCTCTTTGTTTCAAATCAAAATGGATTAAAAGACGATTTTGATAACGATTTGTTTTTTTTCTGTTGCAGAGGAAATAAAGAGATACATTCGGCACGATTAGAGAGAAACGAGCGAGAGGAACGAGCTAGAGGGAAGAGCTTGGAATGTGAACGTTGTGTTCTTTTTTTTTTGGTTGATTAGAGGCAAATTTTAGATGGCGATTCGTTTCGCATTGTATCGTGGAAGGATCTAGGGTTACTGGCTCCGCGTCGGATCTGAATCTAGCCTGAACCAATGGTGAACAATTTGTTTTCCCGCGATTTCGTTTTTATTTTCATGTTTATTTCTCATTTCCTTTTTTTTTTGCATGCACCGTTTTCATTCTGTTAATTTTAGATTCAGGTTCGTTTAGCTCCAGATGAATTTATCAACGCTTAGATTAGAAATGTTCATTG